TCCCGGGGGTCCGCGAGGCCCCGGCGCGGCCGCTCCAGGCGCAGCTGAAGGCGGAAACCGCCGCCACCCGGAAGTGATGGGGACGCGCAGCTGCGCATGCGCAGGTAGAGGCCACGCCCCTTCCCATCACCTCTCCGCCAATCCGACTCCCAGCGTCCCCCGAGGCTCCGCCTCCTTCCGGCTCTTCCGCCCCCGCCCTCGGAGGTCCAGCCCCTCTGCCCTTTGCTTTCATCCAATCACCAGCCGCTCCCACCCGCAAGCCCCGCCCCTCTCCCGGCTCTCCACCAATCCGCCCTCTCCCTGCGCGCCCGCCGGGTTCCGGTGGCTCCGACTGGGACCCCTGAGGCCGGGGGGCAAAAGTACTGAGGGTCGCCATGGCAACGGGGCCTGGCGCACCCCCAGAGCGTCGCAGGCCCAGGCCCGCAGGTGCCACCGCAGGGGGACACCGGAGTGTCCCTGTGAGGGTGACACTGGGGTGTCCTGGCGCTGGGCGTCACCGTGGAGGCGGAGTTTGGGGGGGTTTTCTGCCTGTTGGGGACAGTCGGATGGTGGCGGAGCTGGGGACACCTGAGCCAGTTGTCACCACAGCCCGGGCCTGTCACACGGGATGGCTCGGCAGCTGAGGGGTGACAGCCCAGCCCGGGGTGACCCAGCACCCCGACATGGTGACGGCCAAGCTGGGGGTTGACCCAACAGCCCCACAGGTGACAGGCAAGCTCAGGGGGTGACCAACACTCTGACACAGTGACAGCCAGGCTTGGGGGTGGCCTGACACTCTGACAGGGTGACAGCCCAGCCCGGGGTGACCTGCGGCAGGCGGAGGAAGCAAACAGCTGATTCAGTGTGAATGATAGAGCGAGCTTCAACTTTACTGAAAGAAATCACACCTTCTATAAGCGCTCTACAACAATCACGCACACTGCTCACACGTCTATTGGATAGATGTAAAAAGCTACATTAGAATATCCCAGCCCCTTGTGGTATTTCAGGTATGCGTAAACACTTTCCCTCTTCTGGCCTGTTTTTCTCCCAAGACTGTTTTCTATCACCCCCAAGGTCATTGTGTACCTCAGTTTCTCTCTTTGTTAACATAACAGTCCGTTGTCAGCATAACGGTGCCCTGGTTTTTTTCCTTTGTTTACCTCCGATGGCTGCAATCAGCTCCTGCACAGACCCGTGGCCTTGCTCTGTGCAAGCTCTTCTCCAACAGTGACCCAGCACCCTGACACAGTGACAGCCAGGCTTGTGGGGTGACAACACCCTGAAAGGGTGACAGCCCACCCCAAGGGTGACTCAAGACTGATGGGTGACAACCCAGCTGGAAGGTGACCCAACACCCTGACACGGTGACAGACAAGCTTGTGGGGTGACTTAACACCCTGAAAGGATGACAGCCCAGCCCAGGGTGACCCAGCACCCCGACATGGTGACAGCCAAACTCGTGGGGTTGCGGCGGGCGGAGGAAGCAAGCAGCTGATTCAACGTGAATGACAGAGCAAGCTTCAGCTTCATTGAAAGAAATCACCCCTTCTGTAAGCGCTCTACAACAATCACACACACTGCTCACACATCTATTGGGTACATGTAAGAGGCCACGTTATAACATCCCAGCCCCTTGTGGCATCTCAGGCATGTCACAACACCTTCCTTCTCTGGCCTGTTTTCTTGTTAAGTTGTAAATTCTCTGGGTGATGTCAGGGAAGGATCTTTAACACAAGGTTAACTTCTGGTAAAATGCACTCTCGTTAAAGCTAAAAAATCTGTTGAGCTGACAGGCATTTTAGATACTGGTGCAGATGTGACCATAATATCTGTGGCCAGACTGGCTGTTAGCTCCGGTACCTCAAATGCTTTTCAGGGTTGGTGTCAGGCTGTAGCAACTTACAGCAAGGATCTCATTCATGTAAGGAGCCCAGAACATCGGGTAACAAATATTCATAATTTATATTAGAAAACCCCTATTGCATTTTGGGGTCATGACTGTGTGACTCCATGAGGAACTCAAATTGGGTCAAATTTGTCTTAATCACCACTGTAGCACAACCCACCCTGAACCCCCCCTGACACCAACCTTGTAAACCGCATCACCTGTGTGTGTTGTCCTGCAACAACTTAAAACTGTTATTGAGACTTTAAAAGATTTACAGACACTGTTGGGAACCACAAGTTAGATACAGCCGTCGTGGGCCTGACTCGTGATGATCTGCATAGCTTGTTGGATGTTTTGTGAAAAGATCCTTCTCTGACATCACCCAGAGAACTTACAGAGAAAGCAAAACAAGATCTTCACCGCACAGCCAGCACCATCTCAAACAGACAAGCATCGCAAGTATCCTGCATTCCCCCACAGGACAAACCATCGTGGAACGAGCACGCCAGACCTTGAAAGTGCTTTTGCAAAAACAAAAGGGGAAGAGATCTTGGCTCCAGGTCAGCCATTCGCTCTGCTGTAAATCACGTGCATTTTTTCCACCAGAACGCCAGAGCAACACAAAACAGTTTTCTTTATCAAGGCATCAGGCTAAAGACATCACCGCAACTCGCCCTGAGTACCAGACAGACTCCATCTCTTCAAACCTTTGAAACATTCCCCTGTGTTACAGGTGTCACCAATATTGTGTCGTCTTCCGTCACAGATACCGGATCAACAAGAAGCCCAGAGCAAGGCTCAAGTGTTAACAAAACCTAGACAGGGGTAACTGGGCAGGACCATTTCCTTTAATACCCTGGGGAAGAGGTGATGCTGGGGTCTCCCCAGGTCTCATCTCCAGTGGTCACCGGCCAGGTGTGTGCGACCACCCCTGAGGGTGAGAGGCAGCCAGCACTCAGGATCCAGCTGTGGGTGCTGCGGGTGCCCCTGTGCCGACAGCCTGCGATCTCTTCGACTGATCATTCAAGTAGAATGTCTGGGTAATGTTTGCTACTGCAACAGGACAAACTGCACTACAGTTGCCAATTCTTTGAAGAGAAAATGCTAACAGTAATTGTAACTCCTTAATGGAATATCTAGGCTTACCAGTCACCTGTGCAAGATGTGCTTTAGATAAAATATAGTTATTAATAAGGATAAGGTGCTGTAAGAACGTGTGTATTCAACTCTCTTTGTTTAGCAATATTAAGAATTAAGAGCTCAAGTGTTTAACCTTATTTAGAAACTCCCTTGGTTTTCCCCCTGGAGTGGTGGCCAGGCTGCAGGTGGAACCCAACAGGAGGATGGAATCAGATGTTTCCGCTCAAAGAAAGTTGCCAGTTATTTGGGCCAGTTGATTTAAGGGCTGGACCCGCTCGCAGCGACGTTGGATGCCTCACCTACGGATGGACGCATCGCGTGGGGTTTCCAGTTTGTGAGGAAGGGCGCTCTGAATTCTCGCTGTATCCAGGGCTCCCCAGCGACTGCGGATCTGAATGTTAGTACCGTACTCTCCTCACTGTTTATTTTGTAGTATTTAGTCATATCCCTTAAATATGGGTAATATGGGATGCTTTGTACTTCATAGGATACCTTTAACAGTTTGTTGCGGTGATTAGGAATAGTACTGTTGATTGTAGTAATTATTAAAATAGCATATAGTTGTGTAATGAGAAATATTAGTGAATTTATGCTTGTGCAGCCTGCACAAAAAGAGAAAGGGGGAATCGTTGGAGAAGGGCTTGCGGAGAGCAAGGCCACGGGTCTGTGCAGGAGCTGATTGCAGCCACCTGGGGTAAACAAAGGACAAAACCCAGGGCACAGTTATGCTGACAACGGACTGTTATGTTAACAAAGAGAGAAACTGAGGCACACAATGACCTTGGGGGTGATGGTAAACAACCTTGGGAAAGAAAACAGGCCAGAAGAAGGAAGGTGTTGTGACATGCCTGAGGTGCCACAAGGGGCTGGGATGTTATAACGTAGCCTCTTACGTGTACCCGATAGATGTGTGAGCAGTGTGCGTGATTGTTGTAGAGCGCTTACAGAAGGGGTGATTTCTTTCAATAAAGCTGAAGCTCGCTCTGTCATTCACACTGAATCGGCTGCTTGCTTCCTCCGCCCGCCGCAAGTGGCGCCCGGGACAGGGTTACCCGAACTCTGCTTTTCCACCGAACGGAACCCGGGAAGCGGCGGGACGGACTCGGAGTAGGAAGGCGACGCTGCCGCCTCCTCAGCGCCAGCTGAAGGTGTTCGCTCCGAGAAGGGCTACCCCAGAAAGGCCGCAGTAGGGACTCACCCAGGAAAGGCCAAGGAATTAAGGAATTAAGGAATTAGGAGTTAAGGAATTAAGGAACCTGGTCGGTGGCTACCTGATCAGATGTTAAAGAAGGTCGTTAAGCTACACGGCCCAGCATTTGAAGGAATTTTAAGCAATTGAAGGAATTTTTGCCCGGGCAGGAATATTTGAACGAGAGGTAGTCCTAAAAAACTTTTTGCTTTTTAGAAAAGCGGGGAGTAAGTCTGATAAAAGACTTAGCCGTGTGCGGCGGGCGGAGGAAGCAAGCAGCCGATTCAACGTGAATGACAGAGCGAGCTTCAGCTTCATTGAGAGAAATCACCCCTTCTGTAAGCGCTCTACAACAATCACGCACACTGCTCACACATCTACTGGGGACATGTAAGAGGCCACGTTATAACATCCCAGCCCCTTGTGGCACCTCAGGCATGTCACAACACCTTCCTTCTTCTGGCCTGTTTTCTTTCCCAAGGTTGTTTACCATCACCCCCAAGGTCATTGTGTGCCTCAGTTTCTCTCTTTGTTAACATAACAGTCCGTTGTCAGCATAACTGTGCCCTGGGTTTTGTCCTTTGTTTACCCCAGGTGGCTGCAATCAGCTCCTGCACAGACCCGTGGCCTTGCTCTCCGCAAGCCCTTCTCCACCGTGGGGTGACTCAATACCTTGAAAGGTCTATCCCAAGGGTGACCCACGGCCCTGATGGGTGACAGTCCAGCTGGAGGGTGATCCGACAGCCTGACAGGGTGACAGCCCGGCCTGGGGGTGACTCAGCACCCCGACAGAGCAGCCAAGATTGTGGGGCGACTTAACACCCTGAAAGGGTGACAGCCAAGCTCAGGGGCTGACCCAACACTCTGACACAGTGACAGCCAGGCTTGGGGGTGAGCCAACAGCCTGACAGGGTGACAGCCCGGCCTGGGGGTGACCCAGCACCCTGACACAGTGGCAGCCAGGCTTGTGGGGTGACTTAACACCCTGAAAGGGTGACAGTCCAGCCCAAGGGTGACCCAAGACTGTGATGGGTGACAACCCAGCTGGAGGTTGACCCAACAGCCTGACAAGGTGACAGCCCAGCCTGGGGGTGACCCAGCACCCTGAGACAGTGACAGTCAGTCTTGGGGTGAGCCAGCATCCTGAAGGGGTGACAGTCGAGGCCAGAGGTGACCC